TTATCATTATTATTATTATAATTATTATTATTATCACTATTAATATTATTATAATTATGATTATTATTATTATTATAATTATTGTAATTATTACTATTACAATTATTATTAATAATAATAATAATAATAATAATAATTACAATAATTATAATAAGAAGAATAATAATTATAATACCAATAATTATAATAATTATAATAATAATAATTATTATAATAATAATAATAATAATAATATTTATAATAACAATAATAATAATAATTTATAATAATGATAATTATAATAATATTGATAATTGTAATAATAATAATAATAATAATACGCGACCCAAAATGGAACCCCCGTCAGCACCGTACTTCCTGAAGACCTAAAAGCCCATTTCAAGCTCCAGATACATCAACGTTGGCAAAATCAGTGGAGCCAAAGTATAAGTCGTTTGAGGATACTACAACCTACAATCGAGAAATGGAAATATCCGACAGGCCTAACTAGATGAGAACAAGTTTGTCTTACAAGAATAAAGATTGGACATACCCACCTAACTTCATCACATCTTCTCCTAGGGCGAAGCCCAATACTATGCGATGAATGCCACTGCACTCTGACCGTAGAACACATCATCCTGGAATGTCCAAAATTTACTCTAAGCGCCTAGAATGTTTTATACCAAGAAACCTGAAGAATGCTTTTCAAACGACAGAAACATAAACAACTTACTGAACTTCATGAAATCGACAAATATGCTACACAAAATCTAAACAAAAAATCTTCCAATATAAAAATCTTAAAATACTCGTATTAGCTCCAACATAAGTATCTGAAAAAATATGTATATGTGGGTATATGTGTATATAGAAAACAATGAATCCTTTATAAGAATGCATTATTAACACAACTTACCTGAATTCTGTGTGGCACACCAAATATTTTACTAGGAACAGGACAAACTCAATGCTGTAGTAATTTACCTATGGTAAACACTCAGTTTTACCTCTATACTTGAATTAAGTAAATGGGATGATGCAATGAATTATTTATACTGTATGTGATTGTGTGCGTTCTATATATTATCCAACCCTCAGATCTATCCCTGAGATGCTAGGTTCAACTTATTGACCTCATGAGGCAGGAGGGAAGTGGCTAATGACCATAGCTGTCGATGCCACTGTGGGTTTTAAAAAAAAATAATAATTATAATAATAATAATAATAATAATAATAATATTAATAATAATAATGTTAATAAGAATAAATAATATATATAATTATAATAATTTTAATAATAATTAAAATAATGATAATGATAATAATAATAATAATAATAATAATAATAATTATAATAATTATAATAATAATAATAATAATAATAATAATTATAATAGTAATAATCATAATATAATAATAATAATAATAATTAATAATAATAATAATAATTATTACTATTATTATAATGATAATAATAATTATAATAATTATAATAATAATAATAATATAATAGTAATAATTACAATAATTCCAATAATTATAATAATAATCATAATTATAATAATAATATCATAATATAATAATAATAATAATAATAGTAATAATATAATAATAATAATAATAACATAATATAATAGTAATACACAATAATTATAATATTAATAATAATCATAGTTATAATAATAATAATAGTAATAATAATAATAATATAATTAAATCATTATAATAATTATAATAATAATAATAATAATATTAATAATAATAATACTAACAATTATAAAAAAATAACATTAATAATAATAATAAAAAATAATAATAAATAATAATAATAATAATAATAATAACAGTAATAATTACAATTATAATAATAAAATAATAATAAATTATAATGATGATAATAATGAAATAATTATAATAAAAATAATTATATAGTAATAATAATTATAATAATATTGATAATTGTAAAATAAAAATAATATACATAATTATAAAATAATAATATAATAATAAGAGTAATAATAATAAGAATAATAATAATTATATAATATAATAATAATAATAATAATTATAATAATAGTTAAATATAATAATAATATAGTAATAATAATGATAATAATATAATAATAATAATATTACTAGCATTAATAATAATAATAATTATA